GCAAAGGTATTTCAACCATTACATTTCTTAATCAAGTTGCCAAAAGCCTGGGACAATTGAAACTTCTATTTCACCCTTCCAGGGAAGTTTGCTGTTGGGATGGAAGAACTACATTTCTCTTTTTAACAATTCCATATTACAGCTTTTATACTTCCATTTGAGCATTTTCATTATTATTCCAGACCCAAGGTCATTCCTGCAGACACAACTAGCTTAGGTGGGTCTGTGCATGTGGGATTATTTTAAGGCATCTGAATTCAAGTGGAGTTGTGGAAGAAGGGAAATTCCTCCTTCAGTTCCCATCTGAGCTAAAGCTCTTGTTCTGCAGTGGGATGGGTGGTCCACAAGGTACCTGGAAGTGCACAGCACACAGAGAGGTACAAAGATTCCTGGACATGGAACATTCCCTCCAACTCCTCTCCCCCTCAGTGCACATCCATTACATATTTGTAAACTGCAGTGCTTCCCTCCCTCCCTCTTCAGCTGTACAGTAACAGAGCCACAGAGCTCTGAGTTAAATCTTCCTTAAATCCATCCCTGTAGGCTCCTGATGGTTCTCCCTCTTCTTCTGTGCACTCTAATCATTTAATGCCTTCCTGGTGGAAAGGGAAGCAGAAAGGAGAGCATCAGTGACACCAGATTACACCAATTATCCCCCTTTGCTCTGTGACAGAAGCTTTTAATGATGCAGCATACAATTGCTTTGCTTTTTTAAAATGTGAAAGCAAAGTACAACTTCATGTCTAATTTCCTGGCCACTGTCACCCAAAGGAACCACTCAGAGGGTTGGCATTGTTTTTGCTAAAGCTACATTACCTTGTGCTTCACTAACCAGGAATCTCCTCTTTTTAGTTCTCACTGACATTCACAATTCTCCTCATTTTGACATCTAAATTCCATAAATACGTTGTTTACTCCCTCTTCTGGGCTATTAATGAAAAATATTAAGATCAAGCCAAACATCCTCACCCACAGCTTAGAAAAAGTAATATTATTCTAATTATTAGTAGGATTCAGCAGTGCAGAGGTTACTAATTTAGACAAATGTTATGTGGGGTTTTTTTAATCTTGAAAACAAGTGAACACAATCTCATTTTGGCTTTTTGGAGTATTAATTAACACTGCTAATGCACACACAGATACAGACCTGATTTAGTTCTGCCCGAAATCATAAAAGGTGCTTTAATGAACACATGTGATGCTTATTATTTGTATCAGCAACACTTGTGCTTCTGTGCCTGAACAGCACTTAGAACAGGTAACATTTGGTTTACAACACAACAATAAAATCTGCCTTTATTGCAAATAAACAGAGTATTCACACCTTACAATATTGTTTTAGATGCAGGATTATACTCACTCTTAGAGGATCTAATATTAATATAGAAGGCACATGCACTTCATGTTTCCACACCTTTTTTATTTCCTAAGCAGCGTTAATATGTCTCTTAAATATTGCATTTACTTTGTTAAAACATTAAACTATTTCTGTACATTTGTTTGCAATCTGAGAACACACACCATCAAGTAATCATTTGTACAGTAACAACACGTATCAAAACAAAAAATCATAATCACAGCCCAGAATTTCTCACATCCACCCCCCCTTTGCTTTGATTTAAAAGCTGCACTAGTAGGAGAAGCCTCACCATTATGGTAGTTGAAACAGGAAACAAACACTGCTCTCCTCTAATAATTGTCTGGAGCTGCTTTGATTGGTTGCAGTTAATATTAATAGTATAACCTTTAAAAATTGTGGGGAAAGGTAATACTTTATCTTCTCTCCTCATATTAAGGCTCCAAAGCAAGCTTAATGAGAAACCATTAGAAAATCATACTGCTAAATAGTACCTTAACTCACAATTCAGCCTATATAATTATGTCAGGATTGCAGCTGACAGTGACTCCTGATCCATCAGCCTCACCTTTCCTGCATGGAGCTGCGCAGGATGTGTCAGGATGGCAGCAGGAACTCCTGCTGGGGCAACACATGGGAGACTTGGACCCTTCCCACAGGATACAACTCCACTTCTGCTTACAAACAGGAATAACGTGGTCTCCAAACCTCTGGACTGAAGGACATGAGGGCCACAGGGTGGGATTTAGGGAATAGCCAAGGTTTTTAAGAGGGGAAGCCCAGGCTCACCTCAGCACACCTCGTTCTGAGCAAAGAGTGAGCAAAACTAATCAGTACATACATTAGTAAATGACATTTTAAAGACAATTAACATATAAAACATTATCATCTTTATGAAAATAGACCAATTTGACCCAAGCTTGCCTTTTTGGGGGAGGAGGACACGTACATTTTTATCTTTTAAAAGGCAAGTGTTCTCCTGGACAGCTGCCGATAATCTCGTGGAAAATGTCCTTAAAGCAAGACAAACTCCTCTGTACTAAATCTTTTTAATCTCTTCTTTTCATCCTCAGAGAAAAGGTCATTTTCTTCATGGAGTGGACTAGAAGCAAAGTCATAGTCTTTAGAATGACCCTTGACAAAAGTAAACAAGGGATATTTCTCCTTGGATGAAGATTTCAGCATCTACAATGTCAAACACAAACCCCGAAAAATGTTAATTGAAATTAAGAAATTCAGTAAGTAGTGATATTTCTCTGATGATGACTGCAAAGTAAAAAATGCATTGGTTGGTTATCTTTATTATCCCATTAAAACAGAAGCATTGCACCATCTAAACATCTCCTCCTCCTATTAGACAAACATTTACTTCCATTTCTTCTTCAGGCCTAACCCTGTATTTTGTTCCTCACAGATCACCTGTACCTGCTGTTTGACTCAGTGCAAGAAAGATGAAGATAAAAAAGATAAAAGATAGAAGATAAAACCCTCTACAAAATAGTTAATGGCCACAAGACTCTCCTCAAGCACAGGTATGAATTGTGCAGCAACACCTTGGGGAGGTGTTTTTATTGTAGGATCAGCACATAAAATAATCAATGTTTTTATTCAAAGTTTAAACACATACCCCCATGTAAATAAGCCAGTCAGGAGCATGTGGCTCAAACCAGATTGATGACAGTCACAGGCTGAGGGAACCAGGGTGCCCAAAAATCTACATTTATAAAGAAGAAAACTGAGCATGGAGAAAGCAGGTGGTGGTGAATGATAAATACTGAAACAGACCAGCAAAACACCTTTAATAGCAGATAAAAATCTGCCAAAAACTAAAAGACAACTCAGCCTTTCAGGGTGTTTTGTCCACTGATTTATTTTTTAATTTGTTTTAATTTTTCTTACCTGCTTTAAAAAAACAGCCCAGTGCTGCAGTGACATGCAGAACTACATCACCCTAGAGATACACCTGAGTAGAACTAAAAATCATTGCGCATGATTTCATGAGAATAACCCATCTAAAACAGTAAAAAACCTCCTACAAAGATCTTTAAAACTATTTATAAAATGGCAGTCAGGGATTGAGTGGATGTTTTAAAAAAAAATTTAAAAAATGAATCAGAATAAAATCCTTCATTTTTACTGTGATCTGAAGTTTTTTATTTTATTCTTGTCTATTTTAATTGCATTTAGCTGTTGTAATGCTTGGAAGAGTACACTCATCCCAAAGCTTCATCCCAGTGCCCAATCCACCAAGGCACCTTCAATGACGGTCCCTCCAAACAAGGGTAGAAACACACCTGTGGTTCCACTGCCTTGTCTGTGCTCAGTTTTCCATGAAACTTCCTTTTCCACAGGAAGTAACTTCTCTCCGTGTGCTACGGGAGGTGATGAAACACTAAGTACAGAACATGAATTGGGCAGGGAAATGCCCAAACAAGAGCTGAGGGGACCAGGTTCAGATTCCTGGAACTGTCACCAAGCCACATCTCACCAGAGAGAACAGAGAATCTGAAACTCTGGAGAACTTGCAGAAATCATCACAGTGGTATCTAAAGAAGTTTATTGATAAACATGAATATTTTTAGTACTCCAGTGTTAGACTGTCACTGTTGTCGCCACAACAATTAATTCTGAACTGAATCCAAGTTCAACCCTCCATCAGTCCAGTTCTTGGGAAAACCTCTCATTTGTGCTAAGAACCTGGGCAGATGCAGCTGTCTAACTGCAAGGAATCCCAAGGAATTATTCACTTCCACTTCTTTAAATCTATTTTCTACTTCTCTGGGTAAGAACCAAAGAAACAACTTCAGCATAAATCAATACCTACTGAAGATTATAAACACTATTAAGTTTAAAAAAATGCTTTTTTGGCTCTAGTACTAATACCAGTTAATGGGACATTCCAAATGCTGTACAAACATTCATTCCTTGTGCTGCTGTGGTAACTGCTGTGGTTGATATTGTGTCCATCTTCTGCTGCTGCATCCTTTTCATAGACTAGTTTTAAAATCACCACAGTTTTTTGCTGCCGCAGCTCAGAAAACAAATTAATGATGATGCATTTCAATCCCTCACATAGTGTAATAATCAAGGAGGAAAAAAGTTAATTACATTTGGACTTAAATTAACCTATACCAGTGTTTTTCCGGGATCAGACAGGTTTGATGGGTGACCCCTGCTCACAGACCTCAAACTATGTTCCCAAACCATCCCCACACTGCCCTTAAATGCCATCAGAAACAGCACTTGAGCTAACCAGGAATAATACACAATTTGGGCTGGATCAAATACTGCCATTTCCAACCCAATCCCTCCCGAAGAACGGGCTGTCTCCTCAGATCCCTCCCGGGCCGGGGCATCCCTCCTCGGCAGGGCTGGCTCGGGAACATTCCCACTTCACGAGTGCCACCTCGTGGGCCCCTCCTGCCGCGGTTCCAGCAGCAGCTCCCATGGACACCCCCAGCTCTGCCCAGCTTTTACGTGTGGTAAAATCAGAGGGAATGAAAAACAATCCAGATTTCTGGATAAAAGCAGCAATAAATATCACAAAAAGAATTATGTCTACTTAGAAGAGAGAAACTGATTCTCTTCCCTTCCCCACACACCATTGTGGCTGAGGAAGAGATTTGGGAACCCGGACACCTACCTTGGTGATTTCTTCAGAAGCCTTCTCAAAGTCCTGCACAGTCCTACAGTAAAATCCTATTGTGCAGCTCGGATCCATTTTTTTGAATGACATCTTTTTGGGAGAAGGACAATGGAATGACTGCAAGTTTCAAGATTAAAAAACATGAAATACACGGTTACAGTCGAGAATGGCACAGACCAATGCATTTACTTTCCCCTTTCCAACAGCTTAACATCCAATTCCCTGCATCACCTGAATTAAATCCCAGCACACATTTTTGAAGTCATTTCTTCCACCCCCCAAACATTCAAGTAATTCCACTCTTCCCCAGACACATAAAACCTCCTGCTGTTTACGCTGCATTCCCCAAACTTGCTCACACCACCAGGTTAGTTTGGAATCTGTCAAAGGTCTGCTGCTCCCAGCAATACTTTATGAATATTCCCAAGGCAGAGGAGGTGAGTGCTCTTCTGCAAATTGAATTTGTAACAGCTTTTGCACTATCTTACTGCTTTACTACCACCGCCCAGTGCCCCTTTCCCTCCCCCAGCCTCTATAAAAGAGACATAATGGAACAAACCAACCTCATGCATTTTCCTTTAGTAAATGAAATGGGTTCAGAAACCCACAAAACCCACAAAAGCAAAACCATATTACAATGATCCACAAGTAGGGAAAAGCCAAACAACATGCCCTGCTTTACAAATGGATTTTTCCTAACGTGAAATCTCTTTCTATGACAGATGATGCTCTGACAGTGCTGCGAACTATCAGCAGCCATGCTGCAAGAAAAAACAAACAGACACAAAACCCCCTTCCCCATTTTACTCCTTCTTCAGTTTACCAGAGAAAAAAAATCAGTCTATCCTATCTACCCTGATTCTGTGGGTGTTTATTACAGGAGCTGTAGTTTTGGTGAAGCTCATTGTCCGACTGAAATTATTTCATCACCTGCCTCTCAGAGGTAACCAGTCCCCTCAATTCTGCCTCTAATCCCGCCATCCTTCCTCCATCAAATCCCCAGCATCCCTGATCCAGCTTCTCCACAACACACGGATCCTGCCGGGCTCAAATGCTGAGTCTGGGTTCCAGGAACTTCCCCCAGTGACCAATATTCTCCAGGGAAGACTCTGTGCTGTTCCCTTTCCCATTCCCAGGGAAGCTGTGCATGCTCAGGGCTGCTCTGGCAGAGCTGGATGGCACAGGATCGGGACAGGTCTGAACAAGTGGGACAGAGCGAGGCAGGAGAGCTCTGACCAGCACTGCTGGGTTCCATCTCTAAAGGAGAACTAACAACTGCTACAATCTAATTGGGATACAGCACCAGCATCACACTGCCTGTGTGTTAGAAACCCATTTGATCCCTTTTTATGCCCATCAGAAGAGTCACCCTAGAGAAGACAGCACTGGTTTACTGAATCCAAGTGTATCTGTAACAGCTTCACACAACAAAATATATTCCTTTTTCCTTGTGCTTACAAACCGAACAGATATTTCTGCTAAACCTCTGCTAAAAAAATACAAGCAAAGATAATTGGTACAATTTGTACAACACTGATTTTAGCCACTGTTTTTTCTCCTCACTGTTCAAATTTTCTGTACCTAAATTGTATTTTTAATATTAATTCCTGAGTCATCAAATGCATAAATCAAACCTTGCCTCACACATCCCATTCCAGCAACAGCCCTGTCCCTACAGTCAGGCTGCACTGTCAAGGCAGGAGGTTTAATGCTACACAAATCACTGCACAACAAAGAGAAGTGGGGAGGCTTTTTTTTTCCCACTCCTCCAAACAAATGGATGCTGGAAGCCAATACAGAGTGGATTGATTTCCAACTTATTCTGGACAATTTGTCAATTTTGAAAATACTCCCTACAGATAAATCTAACAAGCAACTATCCACACTAAGAAAGCAATTTCTGTTTACTTTTGACATTTCTGGACAAAGATATAATACTATTAAATGCACCAAGCATTAAATTGCAATCTATTTCCCATCTGCAGGAAGCATTAGGATGCGAGCAAGCCCAGTTGGCAGCTCGCATACCTTCAAAATACAGTTTAAAACCTTATTATTATTTGGAAGTTCCTATTAATGCCCGTCTGCAGCACAATCTGGAGGATGAGTCATGGCAACAGAGACCAAAAAGATGTGTATTTTTTGTAGCTTGGCCACTGAGCTACGGCGTGACCTTAAGGAAGTCACTTCAGCTCTGCTGCTTTTGTGCTCTTCCCACCTTTTGTCTGGTTTCCCAATTAAACTGTAAAACCTTCAGAGAGGCACTGTAGTAAAACAGTTATTAGCATAAAGGGCCAAGGATCTGGGTTATCATCTCTGGCTGCTGCCACAGGGAAATAGGTAGAGCTGGGACTCACCAGCTCTTCCTCCAAACACCTCAGCAGGGTAAATCTAACAGCAGCTCTAAATACAACCAAACTTTCTTGCCAGAATATTTCCCAATACATTTTGCTGCTGTGTTCATTTGCTTGTTCATTCTCATTTTCTAGAGAATCTTATACTTCCATATTATGCAACATGCTAATTAAAGCATTTTGTAAGCATAAGTAATGAAAAATATATACTGTTTGCTTTAAGTCGGCCCTAGGACTTAAATTAGCCCTGTGTAAGTCCTTTCAGATATCTATCTATAGATAGATGAGTATATATATAAAAGTACTTTTCCAAAATACTATTTGATGGTATTGTGTTTAAGGTATTACGATCATGTATATTCCTCTTCCTTATTTAATGCACTGTGTTATTTCTGAAGCCGTGTTTCCCCATTTAGGAGTTATTTCACTTCCCAGAACATGATGGCTTGAGGAGCAACTACTAATATCCAGATCCAGCTCTGCTCTGGAGCAGCTGCTGCTGTCTGAGCACAGACTGTTCCTACACTGAATCCAGAGCTGCTGGAATTTCCTGTGGAAGTTGGACACCAGACCAAGGAGGGTTTGTGTGGATGGCACTGAGGATTTCTGCTGTGAGTACTGGGGCTACTGAACACTTACTTGTAACTGATAATGTTTTCCCAGGGTACTTGTAAATTGAGTTCTCTAATAACCTCCTTTAGCTCTATCTATTTCCAGGTTCCTACTATTGAATACCACAGTGATTCTCTCCACAATGCTGATTGCAATTTGAATTGAAAAAAAACATAAATAAAATGACCAAAAAGACAAACTAACAAACTCCAAATTTAAATAGGTTTAAGATCTACAAATATGATGTAAAATTACTTAAATGAAGTGATCATCTATTTTTGAGATTCTCTGATCATTAAAAAGAAAACAGATGAAGATTAATGAAGTAAAAATTAAAACCCCATACTGAGATTTAACCTCTGGTCATTTTTGTTGATTATAGGCCTATAAAGAAGGGCAGGACATTGATAAATAACATGTAACTGTAAAACCATAAAGCTGCAGCTAGCTAGAACATCTCTAAATAATTAGTGTTTGATTCATATGGGAAGAAAACAGTGCCAGGTCTATATCCACAGTACCTCAAGAGGGAAATCCTTTATGCTGACATCTACAAAAGATTGGCAGTAATGAGGATCCATGTAAATCAAACTGTCATCTACAAGGACAAAACAGAAGACAAGTAATTCAAAAAACACCTTATTATTACACTGCTTACAATCCAATTTCTATGCAGAACAGCTGGAAAAAAAGCCAGCAAGTAACTGCTTGCCAGGCTGATACTCATTGACTGAAGCATTGGTTTTTGCAGGACAGATTAACTTTCGCATAATCAAATATGCTTGTATAAGCAGAATTTTTATAAAGTGATGAAACTGTCATTTAATTTTTGGTGATAAAATTACTTTTACAAACACACAATTATATTCTGGAGTTTGCGTATGAAAAATGTATCGCGCTGCTTCATCCTGACAGGGAGAATATATTGCTTGTCATTTAGGCATCAACTAACACCACTTAAAGCAGGGAAGAGCAAATAGGTAAATAAGAACTGCCAGGCAGGAACAGCAAACGCTCCTCAAGTTTGGTGAAACAGATAAATTATGCCTTGTTTATGCAACAACGGAAATTAAATGTACATTTTAGAGAATCCAATTACTCTGTGGGGTAAATGACAAATGGCTGGACTTGGGGAGATGTGATGAATTAATAAGGTACTCATTTTGCTATTTTAATCATGCTATTTCCCACTGGTTTGATATTAACTTCCTAACTCAGAGAAAAAACTATTGAAGAGACATAACACATTAAAACACTAACCTTGGAATCCAGCAAAGTAATACGACTGCTTGGGTCTGCCACCAATAATTCCAACACAGTACTCCAGGCTCAAAATTCCCTACAAGAAGAAGATTAAATCATTAGGACAGTGTTAAACAGAGTAAGTGTTAAACAGAGTAAGTTTTAAACTGAAATATTTGCTCTTTACTTGTTTTAGACAAATAATTAATTTTCTTTTTTTTTTTAAAGACTGACTCCATGACTTTCTGGGGCTTGACCAAAGTGAAAACACATACCAGATATTCCAGAGAAAGTCCTCCCTTTCCACGAGATGCCCACACATTGAGAGAATAGGCAGTATTATTTTGGGGGAGGAGATAAAACATAATGTCATACAAACTGAGCACAACTTGCTTAGTCAAAATATACCCAAGTATTGAGATTTACAGCTTTCATAAACATTTACATTCTGGGGCCCTGGGGAGTCTTCTTTTTGCATTCAAATGGACAAGTCTGGCCTGAGTATCAACTTCTACATCAAATGCCAGTTGGAGCAAGACTAATTACAAGACCCAGCTCTAAAAACAGCCGCCCAAAATCCAGGGAGGAGAGACAAACACACAACAGACAGGCCCCATAAATCTCTCTGGATGTTGCCTGTGAGGGCAGAGGAATCAGAACCATCTGTAGTAGCACCTTTGGGAAAGGGACAATACAAATACACCTAATTTAAAGGGGTGAAATACAGGAATTGTTTTAGTCTGGAGGTGAAAAGAAAGGAATAGACTCTTCCACCCATGGCAAAACCAGGATCCACTAAAGACCGAAAGAGCTGGGGTCTCAACCATGGGCTACAGTATTTCTGCTCATCCAGGCTGAAAAGGGTTAGGATCAACTCAGCAGACTTATTACTTAATAAAATGCTGATTTTGTGGATATACTTGCTAGTGCTGGGGAGAAGGATTTACCTGTAGACAACAGTTTTGCCAAGCTGAGAACATTTCTACAGTTTAAGTGACTAAAATTCCTCTATCCCCACAAGCTCTGGATGCCCGAACCAGGAACATGACCCAGAAGACTGTCAGCTGAGGCACAGGAGATCTTCATTAACTGGCAGACATACCTCAATCCTCTCCTCTAAAAGATCAACCATTCAAAGTAAAACCATCACATTATCACTGTGTAAGTGGGGAACATTTCTCTCAACAAAAAGATTGTTATTTTTATATTATGAACACCAAAGCTTCTCGAGATGAAATTTTCCCTGCTTACACAATGATAAAGTCACTTAAAAACCTTATCTGAGATGCTACAGAGTCAAATTCAGGATGGTTTATATGGGTTAAAAACGTGATGCTTATTTAAAATATGAATGAGAAGCTTTCTTAGAAAATTTATTTAAAATACGAATGAGGTTTTCTTAGAAAACGCTCCTTGAGGGCTGAGAATCACAGAACATTCAGGCAGATCAGAGGCAAAGGCTCAATCAGCCAAGGAGACACATCCTTTGCCAGTGGAACAGAGAGGAGCAAAGCTAGCCAGAGTAATGGATAACTGCTTCATCTATGGGAAGCTTCTTGTAAAAGTGAATTATAAAAAATTTATCAATTTTCATCCATAAATATAAAATCCTTTGTAGAAATTACCTCTCGTGCTACATTCTAAAATCTGCATTTTTAACTTAAATTCAGACTCTAAGAAATTCAGTCACTTCTTGTGACCAGTCAAGGCAGAGACTGGAGTGACTAATTCATGCAATTGAAAGCCCTCTTATCACAGCCTCCATCAGCCTGCAAAGGGCAGGAAAAGGCCTGGGAAGTGACAGCAGGAATCACACAGTGAACCAGCTGTACTGGCTAAAACTAAAACTTTTCCAAAACCAGCTGCCTGAAAATACAAGGAAAATAATCAGGAAAGAATAACAATTTAAGTTCATCACTTAAAAGGCTCCACTCGTCTGTCTTCCCATGCCAGTAAAAACCAAATGTTTTCCTGACATTTTACAGTGAAGAGACAGTCACAAAAAATAATGTTACAGACTCAGCTTTTGCTCTTGCTATCACATTGTGGCATTTTAAAAATGAAACCAAGAATTTAAAGATAGATAAAAAGCAGTATAGAAAATTAAATAAAAGCAGCAGGGCTAAGAGAACAAGAGCTTCCCTAAGAGAAGCAAGAGGCAGGATTGCAGCACATCCTCAGGTGTCAGCAGAACCCCTGTTGGAAAAAGAAAGGACAGCCCAGACCTTCCTCCCCTCTGCTTTCTCCTTGAGTTTTACTTGTTTCCAGTTCATTTTTATTTGTGGTAACTGTTCGCTACTCCTGGATTGCTGCCCTCAAACATTCATCGAGATAGTGAGTAAATACTTGAATAGTGACTAGACATATCAAGTAACTGCATCCCCTCTGTTCAGGAGAAGAAAAAGACATAAGAAAATGTGAAGAACAGACAAGCAACAACTAAACCATTTGATATTTAAGAAAATAAGAAGCAGACTAAGGACTTGAGTATATTTATATTTTAAAACGCTGCCTGATCCTTAGTTACATATGCTATTAGAGTCGTGCTATATTAAATTACCATTTGTAATTTGAGCCACTGCATTAATGTCTTTCCAGGCGGTGCTGCAGGAGCAGGACAGTTATCACTGCTTTACCAAGGGACATCATGTGCTCTGCAATTATGTCTGATCTTGTAATAGGGAAATTTAAAATCTGTAAAGTCAAACTTTACAACCTTCAACTGTAAAATCCCCACCACACGTTTAATGGAGAGAATTACCATCGTGGAGCTGCTTTTCATATCCCCTTGTGCTACTCTTTGAAAAATGATTGAACTCTCATTTCATACCTTTACAAACTCCAAGTAGTCCGTGTTTGTTCTCTCTCCACCGAGTCTCACAGGAACTAATATAATAACAGCTTTTGTGCCTGCTTTTCCAGAATCCATGAAAGAACATTGTCTGTCAATGACATCGGAGCTGTAGACTGAAAGAAGACACATGAAAATACTCAAATTTCAAATACAACCTCCAGTTTTAGAGACACACCTACAATAAGGCATCACAAAGTCTGACAAAATAAAACTGCAGCCCTTCCAAATCTTCCTGTGCTCCTGAAACACAACCCTGGCTGAGTCTGATCAAAACCAGTGTTATATCTCCTCATTTTCAGCAGTATTTTGTAGAATGGTCATTGCTGCTGCTAAGTTACATTGCCAAGGAAATGCAGAAGGGTAGGTTAGGAGGAAGCCAATAAATACTTATTCACTGCATATAAACCTCTAAAAGGAATAATTAAAACTTGAAAGCCTACAACTAACAGAAACATCTGCATGTTAAAGGGAAAAAGGCAATAACTGATTTTAATCGATACTCAAGCTCACTGCCTAAAGTTAACACAACACAGGCATTGAAAATGAGGGTAAAAACTTAATGCTGTGTTATTGCTTATTCCCCCCAAACTGAGAGAGATGGAAAAATCATCCCAGGACAAAGAAGGGAAAAAATTATTAGAATTTTAAGTTTCACTGTCATTGTAAGTCAGGTGAGACTGGTTTGATTGAATAGTGTATGTTTAATCCAGTTTGCTGGACTGCCCAGGGATGTGGGTCCTGTCTGCCCCATCCCAGGCTCAGTTCTGACATAACTAAACTTGTTGCAGCTGAACTTGGCTCCACTGTGCTTGGATTTGAGACTGTAAGATACCAAACAAGGAAGATACAAAGAGAATCTCCATATATCAAGAACCCCTTTGTCTACATAATCTCAATTTTGTGGACCCATTTTTTAGTTTTAATTTTCCTTTAGAGTTCTACTGTTAAGTGCTTACTGAAAGGCACAAAAAGCATCTAAAATGTTTGCAAAAATCCACAAAATCACAACATTTACCTGTACAGTCCTGAGCAACATAGACTGTTACTCCTTGCAGCTCAGGGTCTTTTGCTTCTTCAACAGCTTTTCTAAGTAGAAACACAAACTATTTAATTAATCTCTCATTTAAAAAAATTAACAGCAAATAAACATAATATCTTTTTTTTAGAAAGAGGTTGGGTTTAATTGTTTGGTAAAGGTTTTTTTGGTTTTTTTTTTTTGGAGGGGGGTGTTGTTTTGTTTAATTCAAGATATCTCCCCTTCCTGATAAATACAGGTGGAGGGTGGGTTTTTTTATTTGTTTTTAAACACTGGATACCAAGTTCCAGTGTATATGGCAACATGTTTTACCCAAGCAAAGATGACAATGAAACAATGAAAACCACAAAAAAAGCCCCAAACCCCACATTAACTTATAAGGGAATTCCTATTCACTACCTCATTTCTTTCCGTTTATAGCAATTTTTTGTCATGTATATTGATGATAAAGGCTAAGTTTATTGACAAAAATATTATTTTCATCTCTCTCTTTGACCTCACTTCATGTAACCAGCCACAAATTAGCACCTGGTGTCTATGGAAATAAAGACTAGACACAAAAAGCTGTAGGGTTTCACCAAAACTTTGAAAAATAGAATTACAATATTAGGCTCTCCTCAGGAGAATAAGTGTAATGGGCCTAAAAGCTAAAAGAAAATATACGTTGATAATCAGAACCATGGCCATCAATCAAGGACAACATTTGTAAAGAAATGAAAGTGTTCAAAATAAAAGATTAGCCTTTGACTTCAACATACACTTGCATTAAATGGTCACTATCCCTTTATTTCACACTATATTTTGAGGAATCTTTTAATACAGTCGTTCCCAAGTTATGAGGGAGCTGTACATTGTTAGTGCTGCTGTAAGAGAGAAAGATCCAGGAAAGGAAACCTTTGCAGGGCTGGAAATCACCATTGGGCTTGTGGTGAGTGTAATTCTGCACCAAATCCCTGCCTGCTCCCATTAGGGAAATAGAGAATTTCATAGGTAATTTATTAAAGCCAGCAAAAAGAATTCTGACAGCTCCCATCACCAGAAAAAAGCAGAATAAAACACATTAATAGTGCTAAACTCCTACACCCCTGTATGAATCTGCAGGTATGACACATATACACCTCATTATTCAGTTCAGCTGCACTTCCAATTAACATACTTGCACACTAAATATCAAATTTTTCTATTTATATCTACATATAAGCATGTACATATAAATGTATGAACTTTGGCTTCTGCTGCTTAAATAACTTAGTAGTGGTTCAGTTTATGGATAAACTGGAACCCACTAAGAAAATAAGCATATAAGACTATAAAAAAACCCCAAAAATATTCAAAGAAATGGCATATCAAGGCACACAGTATAGAGAAATTTGACTTTCGACTTTTTTTTTTAACCACACTGAATGTCACAGACCCTTTACTTTTACTGGGATATAATTATAATATTAATAGTCCCATACATTTACAGTTTCACAAGAATTTGATGTGTGCAAAGAAATGCTGAAAACATCAATTTTAGCTCTGACATTTCATTACACTATCAGTACATTACAGCCCCCAGGTTACAGTATAAAAAAAAAAAAGACCCTCTAATGTTATGCATGTTCCAAGGTTGAAAGAGTGGTTAGTTTTTAGAACATTTCATTAAATGCAGCTCTACTGAAAAGGTTTGCGAGAGATACTTGGGATTGTACAGGAAAACAGGAATATTGCCTTTTTTCCTGAAATAAGATTGATAAAAGCTCAGCAGTAGGTGCAGGGACTGAATGCTATTTCCCTACCTGCCTCTGGAAAATCTCCAGAATTGCTCCTAATATGGGCATTTTACAAAGCCAATAATGACCAGTCCGATGCTTAGCTAGGCTGAAGTAATCTCAGGACAGCCTGAAATGCTTCTCTGTGATGTAACAAAGAATAAAGGTATTTTTTTACCTTAAAATGTGAGCGACGACGGCCGGGCCATACCAATCCCCCGCCATTTTCCCGGACTTCTTCCCATATTCTATCAACTGGTGCAGGCCAAAAGCTGCCAGTGGGGAGTCACCAAACCAAGATATTATTTTTCTGTGATAAGCTTCGTTTCTCCTCTCGTTGACATCCCAGTTCCTCCTCGTGCCCCGCTGGGACTGTGCCTGTGGCTGGGGCAGGATCTTGGGGTCCCTCTCGGCCGTGAGCGACGCCTCGAAGGATGCCGTGAGCTTCCGCACCGTGTGGGATGTCCAGGACTCCGAGTCCGAGTCCATGTCCAGCGCCTCCGGCCACACCCAGGCTGCAGCAAGGAAAGCAAGGTTAATCAGGCTTAATATTAACTTTCTGCTATATTAAGCAAAGCACTTCCCTTTGTTCTCCATGCTCTTTAAAGGAATACTATGTATTTTACACTCTGAGCTGCAAATGTTGCTGTTGAAATGTAAACAAAGAATTCCAGCAGAGTAGTTTCAGTAATTCTGGTTTCCTTTTATTTTCTGCTGAATTACAGGTGAAATATAATAACCCAGTTGTTGTTAGGAGTTTTTGTTATCTGATACTGCACCATCCCAGTCGGCTGAATAAGCAAGAGATACTTGGTTACAAGACACAGGTCAGAACTCTCTTACATATTAAAAATATGAACATTAGCTATTCAGTACTATTCAAAAAGAGAATCACAGAATCAACTAGGTTGGAGAAGAGCTCTGAGATCATCAAGTCCAACCTTTGACCTGACACCACCTTGTCTACTAGACCATGGCACCAAGCGTCACATCCATTCTCTTCTTAAACACCTCCAGGGACAGTGACTCCACCACCTCCCTGAGCAGCCCCTTCCAACCTTTTATCCACGTCAAAAAAGAAGTTTCAAAAGCTGGTTTTAATTCTTCTGGTTTGTCAGTTATTAAAAAAGAAAAACAAGCAAACCTGAGAAATCATTGATGTAAAAACAAACACTTCTTCCTGGCAAAATGTCCAAGCAGATCAGAAGAAAAATAGGCAGGATTTCTTCGTTCACTAAATTTGTGATTTTAGATTACAAGACAAACTTGTTTAAATGCTATTCAGCACAGTATCTAGAGCCTGCATTTTTAGCTGAAGGTTTCTCTAAGGATGCATCCTACACAGCATTCCTCCCATAGCAGAATAGGGTTCAGGAGATCTAGGGAACAGTCAGATGCCTGGAATTCTCTCTCACAAGTGCAAACAACTACTTGTAACACATACCCAGGCATGTGTAGCTCAGTGTAACATCCTCACAGGATGTTCCTGCACTGTCAACTTCATCTTTCAGTCAGTGTCTTAAGCACAGGTATTTCAAAGTAAAACCTACCAGTGCCTTAATATTTAGAAGAAAACCTCCTTTACAACATCATTCAGCAATATCTGGAACATTCCACATGGCAGTGGAAGTGTAAGTATCTCGGCTAGAAACTGCAGGCAAGTTTTGCTTTGTAAGAGAAACAGCACCATTAAACCAGAATGAAAATATCTCTGGGAAAAGAGCAAACAGCCATGAAAAACTTCGTGTAAACACTTAAATATGTTTCCAGAGCTGCCCAGACCTCATAAAAAGCTTTTCAAAAGATAATTCACCAGCTGTCAGAAGACCAGGTGAGGAGCAAAGTAGTCCAGAAAGACCATCCATACTCCGTTTTCCTGTGCACTGGATTGCCACAGAATCGCTTGCACTCTGGAATCACCCCATCACTTTCCAAATTAGGATGCATGGGGGACAGTGCAAGGAATTCTTTGGAACCATGGATTTTAAAGATAGAAACCTGGGGCTTTTTTGTTTGGGGTTACTTCAGAACGAGCCATTACACACCCCTGCTCACAGGGAGTCTTCTGACCAGGTTCTGAAATTTTTTAAAGAGCATGTATAACAAAAGTGATATTTAAGGGATTTGTGTTCTCAGCAGAAGTATTTACATACATTTTGCTATCTGCAGTCAGTTGCAAGGGATAATAAATGTTTTACGACTTAAATATCTCCAGCCAAAGGAACATTCAAGAAGCCAATCCAACAGTTGTGCCCCGACACTGCTGAGAATGGGGACTTTGTGGTGCAGCTGGGTTGGGATCATGTTCACAGCTTACATCATATTTGCACAGTAAGTGCAAAGTATTATCAAAACAGGCTTTCAGAACCATCTTCTGCTGAAGTATTCCCAGGATCCCACAAAGGGCTGAGCAAACAATACACTGTGTTCTCTCACACACGCGCGGGTGGTTCAGGCCCCGCGTCTTGGATCATTCTGACAACAACCAGTGGGGACAGAGGACATGGCTGAGTGTTTGAAAGGGGCAATGTGGGAGATTATGAAAGGAATTGGGAAGAGGATGGAAAGAAACTATGAGAACCTAAAATACCTCTCTGCAGGACATGGTTCAGCCTGGAAGAACAGGGAGGACATGCAGACTCAGCCTGTGACAGCAGAAAGTGTCTCATGGCTCCTGAAGCTGCTTCATCTGGCTGGGACTGAGGGAGTGTTTTGGATAGACAATGGCAAGGAAAAATGGGAAGTTCCTCTCTAAGTACACGGGAGGGAAGGGAGGAAATGACATAGTGACAATTTCCACACAGAGAATGAAGTATTGAAGTTAGATTAAAATCCTTCCAGGAACTCAATATATTAATACTAGGAGAAATTCAATAATGTACAGCTTTAAAACTGATAAAAGATGATAAAAGAAACTGTTCACTTTTACCATAGCCCACAGCTATGGTCTCTGCAACTCATTCCCACATCTTGAGTTCGAGAAATGACTGAGTTTCAAGGGAACTGGACATGTACATGGATAAGGAGAACACCCAGGCAGAGGATCACAAAGTTTTTGCGATATTTTACTTCACAGTTGGATACTGAAAATACCACAGAAGCTTCCTTTGGTTCTCCCTTTTTCAGAATAGAAGGGTAGGACAAGCTGAATCACTGACGCAATGGGACAATTCCAACAGCAATGAGGATTCCAGAAGCAAAACCAGCTTGCACTTCAGGTTTGGGATACACCAAGGCCATGCTGCTCTGACAGAAGGCCCCTGCTGATCCCACACACAGATGTTCCCCCATAACTCACCTCTCCCAAGAAAATGAAGCATAAGGCCCTGAGCCAGCAGCATCTGCCCAGTTCTCAGTGTGCAGCCCCAGCCACAGTCTGTGGTTAACGCGGACCCCTTTATCTGAGGGAATTCCTCTCTGTATGTCAGCCAGATTCTGGAAATAAAATCTTTACGGAACTCCTCAACATTTCCTGAAATCTCTGTGTTGATTTTATCAAAATTGGCCCCATCTGTAGAGAGCTCACCAGATTCTGGAAGGCAAAGCACAGTTTAAGTTATAACTTGGTATGGTACTTCTATTAGAAAGCAAGTAATTGAATACAATATTCAATTAGAAAACAGAGCAAATTTACAAAAAGTAACAATCACTCCAAATACAAGAAAGGAAAACTGGAAAGCAAATGTAACAGAAATGGGCCAGATGAAAAAAAAAAGGAAAAATAAAAAAAGAGCAATGCAGACATCACCATGCCAGTGGAATCACTGACCTGCAAGTAACTGCTTAATTCACCCAACTGTAAATGGTCAAATAGAGAGAGAGAGACTTAGGAAACTGCACACCGGAAAATGATAATGAAGGTGTTGGTGTAGTGACTCCTGGTATAGGTATTGTCCCCATTTCAACCAGGAGGTTTTTAGAAAAAAATTCTCAAATTGATGGTAAATGAAGTAAAGTGCAAATTACAACACTAATATTCACAGAAAGAACAAGGCTTCAGTGCAAAATCTGAATAAATGAGGATGGGTGGCATTAGTGGCGGACATTTCAATGAGTATTTTCTAAGCTTTTCATATTTACATTTTGAATTTGGTTGTTGTTAATGACCGTCTTTCCAGAAGATTAAAAATTCATCCACAGACCTCCTGCTGAGTAAGACTAGAATAAGGGATGTGCTCTGTACTCACCCTCAGTTTTGAAGTGGTAACATTTTCCCAGCAGAAAGACTGGAGAGTTTCTGCTGAAGTAAGTTTTTGTTTTCAACACCCAACCTAAAATAGATGCAAAACAAATACAAATTTGTGACTGAAGTATTCCAAAAAAGAATTGCTGACAGCATCTGGTTAAGCCAAAGGTAACCTTTGAAAGAGGAATAAAACAAAAAAGTATTGAAATGGGGTTTTAATATATATAATGGCCCATCTTCGCAAACGAAGATTTTGGGAAAGGTCTTTTACCTTTCCAGCCTGCGCAATGGATTTTTTAGGTGAGACACAGCCTGCGCTGAACTGAGCCCACCCTTTAATCCTAAGGTTCATCTGCCGGGGCCAAGCAAGCTTGGACAATGGCAGTGAGGTCCTCAGGACGTAGGTTTGTTTAGAGTGTCCTTCTCATAGATGGATGGCCACACAGGGCTAACGACCTCCATCAGGCCAGGAGACCGGGATTTGAACTCGTGGTCGCAGCAGTGAAAGTCCTGCACGCTAACCACTAGGCCACCAGGGGTCTCGAAATGGGGTTTTGGTCTCATAATAAATTACATATAGGGTGCAATGGCTACTATTCCCCTTCAATCATGTGGTAGCCTTAAAGAAAGTAGAAAACAAAGTATCTTTTCATCTTGTCAGACATCTCCAAGGCTCAGTTATGGGAATTAACAAAATTTATCAGAAACCTGATGGTAAATCTGAGCAACCTCAGTTCTAAAGGGAAAGCAAAATAATCAAGGACAGATTAGTAAAGGGCACACTTGAAAACCTGGTTGTTCATAAATAAATTATTGATGTTCAGCTGTGGAAAAGGACATTACTCAAGGGTGTGAAGTAGATTCTTCAGTGGAGTTTGTATCTCACACACTGTCCTATTTTTTCCAGAAAAGTACATTTAAAAATAAACTTTATGCAGATGATTCCATATTATCCCTGTTTTAAAGTCTATGCAAATCAAGCATCATTTACATAATGTATTTACTGTTTTCAAAGTAAGTAATTTAAAAAGAAATTATGCAAATCTATTTGAAAAATGAAAAGCTAAAGAAGTTTTTTAGTCACTGTTTACAGTATCAAAGAAAAAACTGTTTCAAAGGCCATATTGCATTTTTATTATTAATTAGTTATGTTTCTGAATCATGATCCCATTCATGTCAAAAAGAAACATTCCATTCCTTTCAATGGAGACAGGATCTTACCAGACACTGCTCCACTTACTGTATTTCATGTTGTGCCATGCAGACATAAACTTTGATTTTATCTTTTCTACTTCATCTGTCCCTGTGGCCTCCATATTCAAATCCTAGAGAAAAAGCCATCGCTGTCTTGTAAGGCTTTCAGTTCTGCTGCTGGAAAAACACAAATATAAACACATCCATGGGCACAGCATCCCCCACTCAGGTACTTAAGCACAACATGGCCAGAAACAGCAATAAACTCGCAGAATCCTCCACTACCAGACACTGAGAAGCAATCCCGCATTCCATGAATAAGTAATAAAATAATTTAATTCCAAAAACACACCAATAAAAGCACTACACAAAGCTAAATAAAATATAATGTTCTCCAACAGCTCTCCCTTGCACAGCAAACTGATGTGGAGCACATAACCTGTGCTGGCACACAAGCACACCCATTTTAATCAGCAGTGAGATGAAGATGCATCTCACTAAACAGAATAGATGCTGTTCTTTTCTGCTGAATACAATACAACAAGCACTTTTTGTCTTTCAAATGGGGCAGGTGGACTATGGAGGGAGTTCTGTCCCATTTTACCAGATTTCTTAGAAACAGGGATAAAGGTAGTATATGTTCTTCCTATAGTATTACCAATTTAGGTTGCTTTTAAGGTGAAATCTGCCCTTTCTGTAACAGGAAATTTGCTATTAATTAACAGCTTCCTTCACCATGTGTATTCTGTCAGTGGTTTCCTTGAAATTACTTGATACAGAAAGTTTTCTGGATGATATTTGGCAGCCCAAATCCTTGCACAGACAACTGAAAAATTAAGAGCTCCGGCCTCAACAGGAAGTCCTGATAACAGCAGAGGATGACATGAGCAAAAGTGAATTATCTTGTTTAATTAATAAACTCGGGCCAGGAGACAACCTCCTTACTTTAAAAGGAGAATCTAGAACTGTATTTACCTTTCTGTGTGTTATTCCCCCCTGAATTGAGATCAAAAGCAGGACACAGATGAACTGTGTCGCTTCTTTCCACTGGGAGCCCAGTTTAAGTAAAACCTAATCACTGGCAGTGTAATTGAAGAGAGGGTGAAGATGTCAGGGTGGCAATATCATCAGAGCCTGAAGGTGCTACACAGATCCACTGTTTCACTCTGCTGCCCAAGCCCTCTTTAGCATGTTTTCCCATTATTTCAATCATTATTTCACCAAAATCTGTTTTTTGACAGAAAAAGAAGCAATGCCGGCTCACAAATGTGAGGGAAGTCTACTTCTTGTCAATGAAAATAAGAAATGGCTTGCAACCCTGCTACGATTGGTCTTGAGTCAAGCTGAGATTGTGTAGGGGAAGGACAAAAAAGACAATTTCCAACTGGGTTTTAACTTCTTGCCTTTTTTCCTCTCTTTTTTCTTTAGGAAGAAAAGGAAAAACTGCCTATATCATCAGCTCTAGATGGCAAAACCAGTAAGATGAACTTCTCCAGGATGTGTGTTTGGTCCTGTCTGTCCCCACACGATCCATCAACAGTCATTTATGTAGAGGCCACTGATTGTCTTAAAAGCCAATTCCTATAAAAGCTTCCTCTGGCCAAAATTAGAAATGAAACAAACTCTATAGTTCCGTAAGTGCCTGAAGGCAAAGTTATTTAAATGAGAAAGCTGCTCATTTTCCTCCAAAAGACAATGGTCAATGCAGCACATTTATCTTCCCTCCAGTTACACTTCTTCCCTGGCATTATACTAAAGATGCAAAAAGGGCTTCCAAGAAGAATGGTAACACAAACCAGACACACTTATTCCACTGGGAAAACACAGGCTCTTCCCATCAATAGAAGAAGGCATCAGTAGGAGTTCCACCGAAATTAATGGAACAGCATCAGGAGATGGTCCCAGGGAATAGAGATCCAAGCCCAAGGGGCACAAAATCATTAAATTATTAAATCTAAAGCCAATGCTTTCATACTGATAACTTTTGTAAGAAGTTATCTGAATACACATTCCCAGGATGATGTTCCCTCGTGGGGCAGCAGAACATGCCTGTAATGGAAACACGAACTTCTGACCCCTCAGAGCCCCCCTTGCCCACCGAGGGGGATGGTTTGTTAACAGTGATGGAGAAACACCCCAAAACTCCCCAATAACAGGATTTGTTTTCATTAACAGCAGAAAAGAAACGCAACATGCCCATGCAACCGCAATGGGAGATGAAATGAAATTAATGAAGCCTAAACGTGATAATTATGAAACGAATTATCTCTATTAATTAGGAATTAAGGCCCTTTTGCTTTGGATTTCTACCTGGGAAGAACCTGAACCAGCGGCAGCGACAGTCGGCGAAACCCACACGAAAGAACGACGGCGAGGAATTCCCGGAGGTCATTTTTAAGGAGCTGCAAACACATATGAAGACAGTTAAAAACGATACTTTGAAGCTGCCGGGTGAAAAAACAAAACAAAACAAACCCAGATTATTTTTTCCCCCTTAAATCCTGCAGCAGAGATGGAACGCTTTACCCACGGAGGATTCGCAGCCAAGCGGGAGCCCCTAGACACCGCGACCCCACAGGACACACGCGAGCCCGAGCCGGCACCGCGGAGGGTCCGTCCCGCCGCCCCCCGCCCTTCGCTCACCCCTCACGGAGCCGCCCCCGCCATCCCGGGGCCGCCCGGGGAGCCAGCGGCCTCCCGGCGCTGCGCCTGCCGCGGCGGAGCGGCGGGGAACTACAACTCCCGGCGGGCACCGCGGCGGGGGCGCGGCGAGACGGGCCGTGCGGGGCGCGCGGGGCGTGCTGGGAGTTGTAGTCCGGCGGGAGTGCGGCTGGGAGGCGGGAGGGAGGAAGAGGGAGGAAGAGGAGGGATTGAGGGAGGAAGAGGAGGGAGGGAGGAAAAGGATAGAGGGGGCGGGGGAGCGGGCTGAGGGGAATGGGGGGGCCGGGCTGTGGCTGGAGGCGAAACCTCAGGAAGGCGGGCGAGAGCGGGAAGCCCGGCCCGTCACGGGACCGGCAGCTGCCCTCTAACAGCGTTTCTCTCTTTGGGGTTTTTTGGGAGGATTTTTTTGTTTTGTTGGGGGTTTTAGTTTGGGTTTTGGTGGGTTTTTTGTGGTTTTGTTTGGGGGGTTTTATGTGGGTTTTTTGTTGTTGTTTTGGTTTTGGGGTTTTTTTGAGGGTTTTTTGTTTTGATTATCCATTGTATTTATTGATTTTTTTTTTTTATTTCAGTGTCTTTTGAATCCATTAGAGCAAAATGCTTCCCAAATCTCCACACTCCGGAGAACATCAAACTCCAGCCCAGCCCGTGCCAACATTGTGCTCCGATTCAATTCACAGCTTTATTTCTTCTCTGAAACACATGAGAGCCTCTGCATCTCCTCTCACTCCCCTGAGGGATTTGGGGTTTTTTTTAGTGTTTTTTAAAGTAGGTTCTTCATTAATCTGTTTGTCTTAAGCTGCTTAAAAGTACTCATTGGGTGTATCAGGAGCCAAGGGCTTAAAAAAAAAAAAGTGCAGGATTGTGAAGGATTGACTTGAATTTCTCGACTGTCTGGAACTGGCATTACAGCTGAACATCCTATAAAAGGATGATGTTCCTGCTTTTTTTGTGTACTCACCAGCCCAATTTTATGTTCATGAAGCAAAGTCAGGTGGGTTTTTTTCCGTTTTGTGATTTTACTGCCTTCTGCTGGTCAGAAATGACCAGGCTGAGTTTAATTTTTTATAATCAGCACATGATTATAGCACATGATCTAAAATTTAGCTTCAGTGCAAATACCAACAGTAGATGTTTTGTGTATTTCCCGGTGGGTTTTTTCGGCAATCTCATGGATATATTTCCCATAGTAGGGTCAGTCAGTGAAGACAATCGTAGGTATTAATATGCAAATCAGACAACATCATGTTGCAAAGGTTCTGCCTGTTGGCTTGAAGTGGGGATGTAGCAGATCACCTTTCTAATCCTTCCCTGCCTTTCAACTCACTGCTTGCCCTTTGCTTCCAAGCAAAGATAAAGATTTAAAAATAAAACCCAAGTTGCTGTTTGTTGTAAACAAACTGTGGTCCCACGATAGTGGGTGATGTATCAGTGCAGAAGGAAACCTCCTGCAACCAGAATTTCATGATCTTTTTCAGGAATAATAGTTGTTTAAAGTTTTATCTTTGCTTTTATTCTCAAAGACAAAGATGAATGTGCTTGTCTCTCTGTGTATGAGCTTGAATGTGGAGACCTGACTAGATAATGTGGCTTGGATCTGGCTAAATGTTGAACAAAGAATTACCCAGTTTATCAAAGGAAGTGGCTGTTCCCTTGCCTGAAATCAGTTGCCTGCACCTTCCTGCTCTGAAATGGAATAACTATGCCCTGATACCCTGAGTTGACACAACGTGCCATCTGGATATACACTGGAAATCCCTCAGGCAGGCAGGTTATGAAAAGGAAGGTATTTATTTTCTGCTTTTTTTTCATGCTAAACAAAACTTTGGTTGTCAAATAATCACTCAGATAATACAAATAATTGTGTGTAAAGAGAGAGTTTCCTTCACATCCACTAGTTCCTATTTCTGTAGGAAAGATTTGCAAGGGGAGTGGGACAGAACTTCATTCAACAAACTTCTAACAAATGTCACAGAGTTCACACTTTCAACATTTTAATGGCATGAAGGCCATGCCAACCATCCTTGAGCTCCAGATGTGCTAAATGAATGTAGAATAGTAAGGAAATATTTAAAACCCATGTTCATGGGAAATACAATTTATTTTTGCTTTTTTTAATAGGTAGACACCAAATGGCAATGGCAAGACATAAAATTAGAGGAGATACTCTCTGATTTATGGAGATACACAACATTATCCACCAAATACTGCAGAGTGGTAAGAGAACACTGGGCAATGGGGAATGAAGCTCCTACTCATGTATTTCCCACTGTCCTACTTGATCTGGGAATTCATCTGAGCACCATCAATAATCTACGATATATTTAGAAAACCTCATTAAACATTTGGCCAAATGTGCTTTCTCAAACACCCATTTGGCTGCAGTCTGAGCAGAGCAGACCCTGGGTCACAGAGCTTGAGAGAAGGGAATTTTTCCTCATTTATTTTTAGTTTCATTTCCTAGGGAAGTAAGCCATCTGTGATCTGTTTCCCTCGGAAAGTTTTGAAGCTGCTCTGAAGTTTTTAAGTTTGCAGAGCCTCACAGATACTAAATACCTCCAGTTTTTGTGGAAGTAAAAGAGACCCTGGAACAGGGTAAGAGAAAAACATGTGAACTTGTGCCCCATCCTTTCAAGCAGCAATGAGAGTGGAAGGGGCAGTGTGAGCCTGGATTGCTGCTCAGGTGGTTGTCTCCCCCAAATTAGCCAGCACACTTCTGCTTGTACCACTTAATCCATCCACAACCAGATTTCTTTATCCCAGGATTAGGTAGGGAAGAGGAGGCTTCAGCAGGATACTTGTAAGAGTCTGTGCCCAGGCTGCCCTTAATGTAAGATCTTGGTTAAATACCTGGAAGAGGAAATAAAGAGCTCATTAGTGGCATTTACAGAGTGTTAAACTGGGAGAGATCAAAAGCTGTGCTGGAGTAGAAACATAAACTGCCTGAAAATGATAAACATGAGCAGAAATTGATGGAAGCTCAGTTGGGAAGACTGTGAGTCCTTCTCTGAGGAGATTGAACTTCATGCACCCATCTACTAAAATGAAGAACTCTGAAGGTAAATAATTTCAGGAGACAAAGAATAAAGGCAAAAAGGAAGCTGACACCAAATACCACCATCTGAAGAAGGCTGTGGAAAGGTTAGGACAGTGCTGTGGATCTATGATGGAAATAATATAAATGTGAGGGATGTAGCAAAAGCTGCAGGCATTTGGAGAGTCCTCACTCCTCCTTTCCTCTCCTGGTTTTTCATTCATCCAACAGAATTTGGGTACTGGGCAGACAAGGCTACTCCTTTTCTGAGAACAGCAACATCCTCTCTCTTGCCATACATGTCTAGAGAAGATCCCTCTGCTTGTGCAGTTCACGTTACACGTGTAGTTCCTTGTCCTTAAACACATTATTTGGCAAAAGAAGCAGAGATTTGGCCCTTTCTTGAGTGTGACTCGTTCCCCATAGCTGCCAGGAGGTGGCTCTCTGCATTTGCAATCCCTGTTTACTATTTTGTTTATGGAATTACATTGGACACGTTTTCCATGGAAAATGTTTTCAGTGTGTTTGCCTTGAGGAAGTTTACGTAAGGAGAACAAGGAAGCCATGGGCTGAGTAAATAGTTTGCTAAAAAACAAGGCATAGAGCAGTTCACTTTTGTCAGAATGTTTTATGGCTACAATTCAAAGGGATTTTTCTTGTGCAGGGCCTAATCTTATAATTGTATTTTACATCTGCTTGTGGGATGCATTTACCAGATTTGATTATAGCAGAGTAAAAGTCATTTTCAATAAAAAAAAACATTTTAGTCACATGTTTTAAAGGATGCACATGGTTCATGGACAGGTACCCTGGAGAATTGATCAAAATGCTTCTTCATTCCCACCCCTTCAGTGTAAGAGCCGTTGTTCCACAGCTCCAGGTGGAAGGTCCCTGTGTCCACGCCATGAACTTCAGGTAGGTGCTCAGCCCAAATTCAGCTCACAGTTGTAGACTCAGTGGTTCATTCCTCAGCTTTTTGTTACATGGTTTATCAGAGAAGACTAAAAGATGACTTTCAACGTGACAGTCCATGTCTTGGTAAGTTGCTGGGCTTTTCCCCCAAATCAGCAAGTTGACTAAAAGGCAACAACTGCAGTGCAGACCATCACCTTTCACAACGTTCCTCAACTCCCAAGGTTTTTTTGTTTTCTTTGCTGTGGTGCAGTGCTAATGCACCAATTCAAGTGAGGATCACTCCCAGCTTCTAAGATACCATTTCCTTGGAGCAGCAAATCCTTGTTAATGATGGCTGCATAGATGGACTAACTCCATTTTGGAAGCAGTGATGTCTCTCAAAGGCTGATGCACCGTTAGGATCCCGTGTAACAAATCAGGTTCCTTCTTTGCTTCCTAAAACATGGTAAAGGATTACAGTGTGTTAATGGAGAGTAACTATTCAGTATCCTCATAATGCTGATAAAGTTCCAGGGTTTAAATTGGTTGCTAGAAACATGTAGCCTCTGTCCAAACATTAATTTAAATTAACTTGGGCTGTCTGGAGGTATTAATTGCAGTGTACGCAGTCCCTCCACTGAGGCTGGTCTTTCTCTGTCTTCACCCTCACTCTGAGATACCAGACACCCTTGAGGACAATACAAAAGCACAAACAACATCATGAAAAATAAGGAGTGCAATACTCCAAATACCTCATCTATTGCGTACAATTTCACCCCAGTAAAAGAAAATAGTTCCATCTTCCGCAGGAAAAACTTGCACACAACAATCCTTTCTGAATCAGAGGGAGCTGTTAGTTCCTAAAGAGATGCCTGGAGAAATTTTTTTGGCAGACTGAAATTCCATGTAACGAGTCTCTGTGCTCAGTTGGTCACATTCTCTTCTTTGCAAAGCTTGAGTTTGTTTCTTCAGACAAAGCATTTCCTTCAATTAATTCACTTCTAAGATGAGGAAACAAGAGGCAGGAGGGTTATGTGGCTCTGTGCCTGTCAGTGGCAGCACTCACACTAGTACCCAAAATAACACCTCCTCCTCAATCACTGACTTACCAGGGATATGGGGGTGGGATTTGTTAACATG